ATTAAATTGAAGACCTGGCGGCAACAACCAGACATATCCACTTTTCCAAACTTTCAGGAGGAACAAAAACTGTTTTATAATTAGAAAATCGTTTTAAAAATGAACTTAAAATATATAACTAAATAAATAATATATTTATAAATGCTATTATGAAAAAACATTTACATGCTTAAAAATAATAAAATAAAGATACGGGAGATGTCTAGTTGTTGCACCGTAAACTATGTTTTACTTATAATGTATAAAAAGAATGTAATAAAATATGAAAAAGGTGTTTTTACCTATAACATACAGTTTAACACCTGTGTTCAAACCTTTCTTGGTATAGATGTGTAAATAAAACTTGTATATAAAAAGTTTGTATGTACCTACAGTTTGCAATATTACCAAAAACATATTATTAATAGAAGTTAGTTATTTAAAACATAACTAACATTATATGACACAATAAAAAATAGCAATATTAAACAAATTTTAAATAAAAATGAACTTTTTACTAACATTGTTAATACATAATAAAACATAATAAAAAAACTGGCAATAAAACCAACAGCATTTAAATAGAAGTTAGTTATTTCAAAGAGAACATAACAGAAAAAAACTAGTATTATTTAACATATTTTGAATAAAAATTAACTTTAAAAACTTAATAATCAATATATTATATAATATAATAATATAATAATATATTATATTTAAATATACTAGAAAAACATATCATGTGTTTTAGGTATGTGAATGAAAACATAGTCATTAAATACAATTTTTAACAGAAAAATAATAGGAGGAATATTAATCAGTCTTTAAACATTTTAATCAGACTATATAAATATATATTAAAAGATAGTAGAAAAACATTACCTATGTGTTCTAGGCATGAGGAATGAAAGAATATCATTAAATAACATTGTTAATACAGAATAAGACATAATAAAAAAAAAACTGGCAATAAACCAACAGCATTTAAATAGAAGTCATTTATTTTAGAATATAACATAATAGAAAAAAAAATAGCAAAACAGATGTATTATCGTTCGATTTCCAGCAAAACATGTCATTACCCCATATCCCATGTGGTAATGTTTTTTACAAGAGACAATTATGGATGTATATTTTTGCATTAATTCTGGAAGAACAGGAAATCACATTTTTTATGTACGATGAAGCCACAGCTCATAAGGGTTTTTTCTCATAACAGATTTTTGATAGTTTTTTTAAACAAAGGTCTCATAAATCCGGAATAATTTAGTATCATATCTTGTTTAACATCGATTACGTTGAAATGTTTACATGTATCTTGCACAAGTTTCTTATAAGTTTCTGGTAGGTAAACACGCTCAAGTTTTCTTCTTTTTTTTTCTATGATGCCAAATGCACGATCGCATGGCAAAAAGCTATGGCCAGGCTCTGGGTAGCGATGTATTATATGCTTAATTCCATACATTTGTTTAGTAGCTACTATATACAAAAATTGGGTCAGTGCAAAATGTTTGTTCTGAGCACTACAATTATCTGAAAAAAGGTATACTGTTTCTACAGAATGCTCCATAATATTAGAAAAGTAATAATTTAAAAAACTGATTACTTCATTTTGACCCTTATGAGCTGTGGCTTCATCGTACATAAAAAAATGTGATTTTCCTGTTCTTCCAGAATTAATGCAAAAATTATACATCCATAATTGTCTCTTGTAAAAAACATCACCACATGGGATATGGGGTAATGGCATGTTTTGCTGGAAATCGAACGATAATACATCTGTTTTGCTATTTTGTACCTTGGCTTCTTCGGATATTTGTCTGATATCAGTATAAAATACTTCAGCCTTAGAAACATGAAGTAGTTTTTCAGCTTCCAACTTTTTTTTAAGTACCTCATCTGTTTCATCAACTATAAGATTTTGAAGTCGGTCACATGTTTGACATGTGTCAGATCGTGGATAACCAAATGATAGTTTATAATTTGTAAGAAAAAATTTACGGTTAAAACCATAGGTTACTTTTGGTTGTACAGCATCATTATTTTCCTGCATTTGTTTCCATGTATCATTTTCATACTTAATCAAGTAAAGATCATACATTTTCGATATGTTAAGATCTGAAGATAAATATCTCATAGAATCATTTTTTGTACGACTAGTGTGAATAATGTGAATGGGCGGCCAGGAAAACTTTCAATGTGAAATATAATTTGCTCATCTTTTTTATTGCCCCTATTATTATGCTTTCCACGTTTATCAACTGGACTTTGCTCGTTATTTTGAAGCAACTTCACAATCCTTTCAACTCTACATTTTTTAATTCCCAAAATCGAACAAAAAGCTTTTTTTACACACTACCTTTTCTTTGTCATAAATTTTTACTTTATATTTACACACACATGATTTAGGTTTGCTATTATCTTTCGGCCTGTGTCTAGTTACTTTATTTATTTTAATTAAACCTGCAATGAATGTATCTTGCTTCTCTTTATTGCCTATTTTATTAAACATTTTTAAAATTGTAATTTTTTCTATATCGCTAACTTTAATAAAACATTTATTTCTGCATTTGCAATCAGGTCCTGTTTTCCTTGGTAATATATGTTTTCCACGCAAACTTATATGATCTTCACCAAGTGCATTTGCATTTTTTGCCACATTACGTTTCCAATTCAAAATATTTAAAGTTTTTTTTTACCTACTATTACGGTGTCTTCTTCGTCAGAATTTTCTATAACACGAACTTCATCATCATATGCATAATAAGTATTATCCGGATATTCATTATGTTGTATACCTAATAGTGTTTCATACTCAGACATATTTTCAAAGTCTGAAACTTCGATTGACGACAACGGATTCGCATAGTCCGAATCATTAATAGAGTCGTCAAAACTTGTAAAACTTATAGCACTCATGATGCTATTATTGTTTGAATTCAAAATATTAATAATAGCGATTAGCGAATAAGTATAATAAATTATAAATTGATCATTTAGAACAACATATTTTGGTGAAATAAGACAAGATATTGTCACAGAATAAGAAAATACCACAAAGATGCCAAATGCCAAAAAAATATCAGTATGATAGCACAACAATGATAACAAGACGTAATCATAAATTAAATACAGTATGACCAACATTTGGTGCAACAACCAGACATATCCGGATATGTCTTGTTCTTGCGCCAAAATATAAACCAGACATCTCCATTTGTACAATATTTCTGTATTTAATCATCGGATTTGTCTGGTTGTTGCACCAATCGACGTATTTTTTATTTTTTTATTATAATCAGTGAAAAACTGAATTTCGCCAAAATATGGATATGTCTGGTTGTTGCCGCCAGGTCTTCAATTGCGTAATCCCATTACACCTCCCCACCAAAAAAAAGATTGTTAACCTTTAAGGGTTAAGAATCTTTAACAATCATAGTTAAGTTAATTAATCACAATAGTTGATTGACATTTTGACATACATTTGATTACAATTTGTTATAATAGTTTACAATTTTGATATTACAGTGTAGACATTTACAATTTTTAGTGTCATACATAATTACTGTTACATATTTATTGTATATATTAAAAGTTATATATCGTGATTAGTAAGAATAAAATTAATACATTAATTATTAAATAACTAGTGTTAGTAAGAAGGAGCAATAGTCCTTTTAAAACAAAAATAGTATTGTACCTGAAATTACAACATTAAAAGTGTAAGTATATAATATAATGTAAGTATTTCCCCTTGATTACAATAATAATTATTATCTTCCACCAATTAATTATTATACTAAATCTATATGAATAATTATTAAAATTGTCACACACATATGCAACCATAATTTTTGTTACTTAGGATAGTATATTATAGAACTCGGGTCTCTAGTTCTTTCTATTATTTCTGTTAAATGTTTACATTCTCCTTTACAGTGATCATTTATAAAAAGTTCAAGAATTCTTGTTATTTTATTTAGAGTTTTATGATCATAGCGGTTATTTAATCTTTTGTTCGCTTTCAATATATTATGCCAATTAAAACATACTGACTGCATCTTATTTTCTTTAAAGTTATAAATATGTACCTCTGTTTTTATTATGTTTTTTAATTCCGCAATGAATCTAAAATAATATAACATGTGTTAAATTATTTATTTACCATAACCATAAATATATATATATATATATCGATGGCGTAGCGCACAAGTGGGATAAGTGACATTTTTTTGAAAAATGAGTTAAGTGCATAATCAATTTAATCATACAATTCTGCACATTATGCCCAAACGTTGTAAGTGAATAGTTCATTATTTATTCCGATAGATGTCGTACAGTTCGTTACATTTTTGAATTTGTTATAACATCTCAAACTTAAAAATCGTTCTCCTGAACAATTACGAAAATGTCACTTACCACACTTGTGCGCTACGCCATCGAATTATAATTTATTTTCTAAAACTTATTTATTAACTATAATAATTCATTTATTCTGATTATAATTTTTTTTATATTTCCTCGCTAACTTATATAAATATATGGGTCTCATTTTTGAAACCACATAATTAAATAGACATTTTGTTAAAATTACATCGGCAACTGGGTCATGAAAATACGTAATATTATGATTAGTATCACACATTAATCCATGCGCTTCTGATAGTCCTAACATTCTACCGTTTTTATTCATTTTCCCTAAATACTCTGAATATAAAACCTTTTTAGTTTCTAAATTTATTAGTTCTAAATTAAATTCATCATTATTTTTAATACTATATGCTGATATATTTAAAAATGCTAAAATACCCTTTATTCTTAACCGTTTAATTAATGTTATATCCGTCGTTCCATTCCAAAAAACTATTATTGGATCCCTATTGTCTATGTGCAAATATCTTTGCAAGTAAACCGTTGACAAGGTTGATTCCCCCTGGTGGCTTACACTTTTGTATAATTGGTCCAACAACGACATAGGTAACCAACATGGATTCGTTACGGGCAGATCAACAATTACAGCAATGAAATCGTTATATAACTGGGCAAACGAATCGAAGTGCAGGCACGTCTTCGGAGTCTTCCTGGACATCCCTGGGGCTTTTGACAACGTCAAATGGTCCCCAATCCTTGAGAGACTCCACGAAATTGGTGCTTCAGTTAGAAGCATAAGCATTATAAAAAGCTATCTGGACAATAGACACGCTAAATTACAAATAGAGCACACCGTCAAAGTTAAACAACTTACAAGAGGATGTCCCCAAGGATCACAGCTCGGACCGACCTTATGGAAGGTAGCCATGACGGACGTTGGGGCTCCCCCAGACCGAAACACGCAGCATGTCATCACGTATGCGGATGACATAGCTATATTGACAGGTGCCGCAAGACCTCCAACGGCATTTAATCGGATGATGGAATACTTAAATGAGATGAAATCATGGGCATCGAAATACTCCCTCGAATTCTCGGCTGCAAAAACACAACTTATGTCAATAAAAGGCGGCCTGAAGCCAACATACAATATCACTTTCGGCACGGACGACGGAGCAGCCGTTATAGAGTCCTCCAGCACGGTCAAATACCTGGGCATCCTTTTAGACCCAAGGCAAGCATACGTGGAGCACATACTTGCCTTGGCACACAAGTCAAAAGACCTCTACCGCAGGCTTAGAGGTATGGCATCTGCAAACTGGGGCATGAGTAGAAGAACAGCGAAAATCATATATGAGGGCGTCTTCTTGCCAAGAATCACGTACGCAGCCGAAGTCTGGTGGGAGGGCGTCACGTATGCTAAGTGCAGAAAAAAGCTATGCTCGATGCAAAGAGACCCGCTACGAGCGATCACAAGCGCTTACAATACGGCTTCGACGAATTGTCTAACTGACGTAGCCGGTGAATTACCGCTGGACTTGAGAATTATTGAGCAAGTGGAAAAAAGAAAGATGAAGCTAGGCCTCATCACGCCTGAAGCATTTAAAGGGAAACTAGACGAGCTACTGGAACAGTGGCAGGTAAGGTATGTGACGACGGACAAAGGTGAATGGACCAAAAAGATGATTCCATCAGTGGTCGAAAGGTACCACCTGCCAATGGAAATGGATCACTACACCAGCCAAATCCTCACAGGTCACGGGGACTTCCGTGGAAAACTGTACGGGTTCAAATTAGTAAACTCACCCACATGCGAATGTGCCCTTGGGGGCTCGGAGACAGTCGCGCACGTCCTGTTAAAGTGCCGGCGCACGACCAGCCAGAGGGAAGAACTTAAACAAGCGCTGGAAAGGGAAGGCCAAGTATGGCCACCTGAAGATGGAGTGTTCCTCAAGACGAAAGCACTATACGAGGCACTGAGGAAGTCTGCGAAAGACAGTCTATACAACAGGTCAGACAGATAATATGCGACAAGACGCATGGCCGGAACGCAGCCACCACTTTTGGTGAGGACACACTACAGGTGGTAGGCTACAGACATGGGGTGCTCCGAATGTGCAAGGACGGAGAAAGAGGCAGAAACGGGGGGCACGCTCATGTGCGTTCCGGCAGGGCCTAGCACATGCGCCCAGGGCGAGGAGTTCGGCCCTGTTGCTGGGGCCGTCCAGATTTCAGCAACAGTATTCCCTGCTTGTCGTAAGAGGCGACTGAAAGGGAAATGGCCAGTCGGGGCCGGCGTCCGGGACGCGGACACACCGAAACCTCCGGGGACTAGGGTGTTGGAGGTTCTCACTGCGACCTCGTGAAGAGCGAGTCGATCACCTCGGTGATGCCTCTGGGAGGCGTGGCAAAGGCTACCGAGCCTCGAACTCGGGGGTCGCGGCCACCGCGCCAGGGCGACCGCCGCTGGTAAGGGCCCACCGTGAGCCCGTGATACACGATCCTAATCTTGGTAGGACCACAGCTGAGACTCCCGGTCGACGAAGCTCGGCCCGAACATCCAACCACTGATGTGCTTTCCTAACGGGAGCGAGAATGGAACTTCGGGATGTGGGGGGGCCCCGCGGCGTCGAGTTGATTGGCGACGTGCCCTCACACGGCGGTCGCGCCCGGCCTCGGTCGCGGCGCGGTCGACGGCGGTTTGGTTTCGGAGTGGCTGTTAGCGGGAGCTAACCCTATGGTTCAAAGACCAAATGCTCGGTCTAGGGGAAGGTTGCCGAGTGAGAAACTCCTTAGCGCTCACCCAGCCTACCGGTGGGGCTATATGCACCGGAGGTTGCCCGTGACCAAAAACGGGAAGCAACGAGGATAGCTTGCGACCCGACCAGGGTGGCGAAGGGCACGTGCACGCCTCAGCCAACGGTACGGGCGCACCCTCTCCCGACTTCGGTGGGAACGGGAGTGCGCCCGGTGCTCGTGGTCCATAGACGACGCGCGGGCGGTGGTTGGTGGCAACACCGTACGCCGACCGTGAACCTCCGTGGCTCTCGACTAGCGCACAGCGCTAATGTGAGGTCCACGGTTGTAGCCGCAAGGCATCAAATCGGGAGTCTTCGTGTCTATGTGCAAATATCTTTGCAAGTAAACCGTTGACAAGGTTGATTCCCCCTGGTGGTTTACACTTTTGTATAATTGGTCCAACAGTGGTGCAATCACGCTTGACTTTTTCCCTCGGAATACTCGTTTGATTGTTTGCACGATTTTCTTAAGATCGCATAGCCGGAATTTTCTTAACTTATCGTCTTTTGTAAGTATAAGAGGACTTCCTTTCAATTTCTCGGGCTGGTATTTTTCTAGACTATTCGAAATCGCCCCGGATACCAATAATGTTTCTACTTTACTAGCCGTAAAGAATTCGAAATCCACTATGAAAAAACGGATCTGTGAGCTAAAATAAAATTTATTACTTAAGGTCAGTAACACTATAATTTAATAATATTATTATACATTTATGTTTTTATTTCTTGGAACTATATCGTTTATCGGTTGATCGCCAAGCCTCTTATTATTAGTTGTTCTAACAACAAACCTAATTCTATACAAATGGGTCTGTTGTGGTCCGGTCGTTCAACCACCGCGTGTACGAAGTTGCTTACATGAACCATAATTCTTTCTAAAACTAGTCTTGGAAAGGGGTGTGTCATGTCTTCATTCGCCCTCCTTAAGTGTCTTCTGAAACAGTGTAAGGTCACTGTTCCCCCATGATTTAATTGTGTGTGGCGTGCTGTTATTAACTCTACTATAAGTTTCTGAAAGAATTCTCTTGTTTGTAGTGTCTTTTGAACTGTACGAGAAGTAGGTGGTGAGTTCCTATTCATTTTATATTTCTTATCTACATGGGTATGTTTTAAATATTTGTTCTTCTTTTTAGTTCCTGAAAAAATTAAAGTGACCTGTTATATAATTGTTACATCGTGATTATCTGTAAGGATTATTCTATGAATTATTTTATTATGCATGAATAATATTTATTTTATTACTTAGTGTTTATTATTTTTATTAATATGTTACGTATTTATTTTCGTTTTGTATGTTCTATATTATTTTTATTCTTTATATTTATTTTATTATTAATTAAATTTAAAGTAAATATTTCATTATTGTTTGTTATTAAAACTATTTAACATTTTTAATACTGATTACTGAATAACATATTATTTATTAGTACAACTTAATTATATGACAACTGACAGGCATGCATTGTTAATTAATATACAACATGTGTTTTATATATCTAGTGGGAGAGTCTGATAAAAAGAATCACTATTTTGTGGTTATGTTACCTATTGATAACAGTCTAGTTCAGTTATCAAACATCTCCTTTTTTTTTTTTTTTTTTTTTTTTTTTTATATATATAATATTATTAGTTTAAAATACATCATCATTTCAACATTAATGATACAAATTTTTTTTTTTTTTTTTATACAAGAATAACAAGATACTTAATAATTTAAACATAGTTATATGAAAGATACAATTTTTTTTTTTTTTAAGAAATACAAGATTAACAAGATACTTAATAATTTAAACATAGTTATATGAAAGATACAATTTTAAACATAGTTATATTAAAGATACAATTTTTTTTTTTTTTTTTTTTAAGAAATACAAGATTAACAAGATACTTAATAATTTAAACATAGTAATAGACGACATTACAAGGTCTAATGATTTAAACATAATTGAGTCTAATGGGTTTTTTAACTGTTCTACCTGACTTTGTTATAACTATGGTGGGTGTTGGTATTTTACTATTTTTATATGTTTCCTTTTTAAATATTGTAGGTATTGTTTGGTTTTTTGTTTGCTCCTCATTAAACTCTAACTCTTTTCTTTTTCTTATATTTATTACATTTCTTCTAAGAATTGTGCCATTTTCTAGTTGCACTGAATAAGATCTTGGACTTTTAAGTTTTTCCATTACTACTCCTTTCTCCCAAAACTTGTTTTTATAATTTTGTATATAAATTTTATCACCCACATTAAATTGAATTTCTGTTTTAGAAGAGTTTTTATCAAAATAGTTTTTTTGTTTTTGTTTATTTTTATCATTTGTTCATAAGCATTAATATTCAATTTTGCTGTTACTTCATCAATAAAAGTTGGTAGTTTACTGCGCAATTTTCTGTTCATTAACAATTGTGCAGGTGAAAAATCTAAATTAGCTACATTACTATTTCTGTAATTTAAAAGATAAAGATCTATGTCATGACCCTCTTCTTTACACTTTTGTAATATTTTTTTAGCTATGCCCACTCCTTTTTCAGCAAGTCCATTGCTTTGTGGATAGTGAGGGCTTGCTGTATTTACCTCAAATTCCCAATCATTAGCAAATTTCAGAAACTCCCTACTACCAAAAGGCATATTATCAGCTATTATTTCCATAGGAATCCCAAATTTGCTAAATAACGGTTTTAACTTTGAAATTATTGTTGACGTATCCTTATGTCTAATTTCAATTATTTCTAACCACCTAGAATAATAATCAACAACTATTAAATAATTAGAACTTTTATATTCTGCTATATCCAAACCAATTTTTATAAACGGTGCTTTAGGTATCTCATGGTTTATTAATGTTTGTTTAATTTGATTTCTCTTTAACTTTTGACACAAACTACAATCTTCAGCAAAATCACATATATCTGAATTGATACCGGGCCAGTAAAATATTGACTTCGCTAAAAATTTTTGTTTATGTGCACTTAGATGTGTTTCATGTAACAAAGTTAGTATTGTTTTTCTAAGTTTTTTTGGTATAACTATTTTATTATCTAAATACACTAGATTATCTTGTACTGTTATGTCATACCTGAGTTTAAAAAAATGTTTAATTTCACCAGTTATATTTCTATTTATGCTTTTTGGCCACCCATTTTTATAGTATTGAAGTACTAAAGATAACACCTCATCATTTAGGGTTTCCATTTGATATAATTTAAATTTTTTAGCAGAAATTAATAATTCTGGTGCTATTTGTACTGTATGGACCACATCAGTCATTTCATTATCACCTACTGGAGTTTTATGTACTATATTCCTTGATAAGAGATCAGCAATATATAGTTTTGGTCCAGGGACATATTCTAATACAAATGTGTATGGTAAAGTTTTAATCTTTAATCTTCTTAGACGATTATTTTTTATTTTGTCTATTGGTTTTTTCAATAATGAGACTAAAGGCAAATGATCGTTATTTATTATTATTTTATTCCCATAGACATAATTATGAAATTTTGAAAGTGCATATGTTATTGATAATAGTTCTTTTTCAATTTGAGCATAATTTATTTCTGTAGATGTTAAAGACCTAGAGGCAAAAGCTACTGGTTTATTATCTTGCAACAAGCAACATCCCAGCGCATTTTGTGAGCTATCACACTGAACTGTAATTTGCTTATTCATATCAAAATTATTTAGTGCTGATGCTTCTGCTATTAAAGTCTTAATTTTTTCTAATATATCTGTGTGTTTATTTGTCCACTGCCATAATACATTATTTTTCATTAATTCCCTAAATGGTGAGCTTAATTCTGACAAATTTGGTATGAATTGTCTAAGATAATTTATTACTCCCAATATTTGTTGTAACTCTTTTTTATTACTAGGAATTTTAAGTTCCTTAATGGCAGTGATGCGATTATCATCTGGCTTCATACCATCTTTAGAAAACAATAATCCTAAATACTTAACTTCAGATTGATAAAATTGTACTTTATTTGCATTAAATTTAATATTATATTTTTTTGCCCTTTCAAGAACTTTTAACACAGTTTTATCCATTTCTTCCTTAGAATTGGTTGCACAGAGTATATCATCAAAATAAACTATGACATTTTCTATGTCACCAAAATATTTATGAGTTAGTTTTTGAAAAATTTCTGGTATTGACGATAAACCAAATGGTGCTCTCAAGAACCTATAACAACCAAAAGGACTACTGAAAGTACAGTAATTACTAGATTCTTTCTCCAATTTTATTTGGTGAAAGCCGTCTTTTAAATCAAACACACAAAAAATACTCTTATTTATTAATTTTGGTGTTATTTCTTCTAGTGTGGGAATAGGGAAATACTCACGCACTATATATTTATTAAGATTACTTGGATCTAGACATACTCTAAGTGTTTTATTAGATTTTTCTACTATAACAATATTATTGACCCACTCTAAGGGTTCATTTACAGGTTCTATTATTTTTTTGTTAGTAAGCTCTTTTAAAGTTTGTTCCAATCTTGGTTTTAATGCAAGTGGAACTCTACGAGGAGGATTTGCTCTAGGAACAGCTTCATCGACTAACTTAATTTGAACTAAGTCCGGAAAGGTACCTAAACCTTCAAATACATCTTTATTTTTGGATATAAAATTATCAAGTTCCGCTGTCTTAGTCTTACTAATGTGTAATCTATTAATTCTTTGTATCAAATTAAAATCAATGCAAGAGCTTAATCCTAATATTGGAATACATTTAGGATGCTCTATTACTACAAATTGAACATCTTTAACTATTTCTTTAACCCTACATTCTAATATTATTATTCCTTTTGGGGTTAATTTATAACCACCATAAGACTCAATTTTAATTTTTGTGGGTTGGATTAATTTTTTAGTGTTAATTTTTGTAAAAACTCTGTATGGTAATATATTAGTTTCTGCTCCCGTATCTATCTGAAAATTTATTTGAGTATCATTAACATTAATTACTTGTGACCATTTTTTGCTATCAGTTTCTTTTATTTCAACTTGATTTATAGAAAAAACTAAATCTTCATCATTAGACCCTGTTTCTGAATCTACTGTTGTAATTAAATGTTGTTTATACGATTTACCTTTTTTATTATTTATATTATTTTGTTTATTAATGACCATATTAAATTTACAAAGATTACTGAAATGATTCATACGCTTACATTTATTACAAATTTTCCCAAAAGCGAAGCACTTATTAATTAAATGGGTCTTACCACTGCGCCATGTTTGTTATTAAAACTATTTAACATTTTTAATACTGATTACTGAATAACATATTATTTATTAGTACAACTTAATTATATGACAACTGACAGGCATGCATTGTTAATTAATATACAACATGTGTTTTATATATCTAGTGGGAGAGTCTGATAAAAAGAATCACTATTTTGTGGTTATGTTACCTATTGATAACAGTCTAGTTCAGTTATCAAACAATTATGACTAGCGACTACTTTTAATATATTTTTATTATATCTATCTTGGCGATGGCGGTGCGGTGAATAATGTCTCTCTTATGTACCTAATCGTTTGTGCCTGGTGTTCTATATCTAACTATTCTACCTGGCATATCTCTTATCTGTCCATTACTAATATATTTGCATTTAATTAATATATATATTGCTATTATAAGTACGAGAGACAACGATGCTAGTAATATTGTTACATATAATAAATTACTGTGTATAAATTGATGTTTTTGATTTTGTTCTCTTGAAAGTTCTTGGTAAATCATTTGTTGTACCTCGTCTAAAGATTTGGATGCGTCGTGTAAATCTGTGAATTGCATAGCTGGTCCCTTTTCCCATTTTTCATCTGTTTCAAATTTGTGTATATGTTCGGGTATTTTCTCCAAAATATAATTCATGTTAGTTACAGGTGTGAAGTCTTTAAATTTTTTATTTTGAATTTCTTCCGTGGCAGTTAAAGTTTCCGTGCTAATACTTGGCAACTGATGTCTTTTATAGTTATTTCTCCTGCTTCATTTGTTTCTGTTATGAATGAATCTATTAGGTTGGTGCAACTTATTGTTAGTGTCTCTTTTCCTGCATGAATCCATGTATTCTTATTTCGCAATTTTTGGTATATGCTTCTCTTTAAATTAATTTTCTTTACCATACATATCTCAGGATTAGAATATGTGTCAGATTTTATGAAGTTTTGCACTTCGCATGGTTGGCGTTCGTTGTTTTCCTGTATAGGTTGTGGTGTTTTACATATTCTGTATATTGAAGTTTCATTACATTCGTTTAATTGTTGATCTGTGTATGTAGTAAACTTTTTATATCCTCTGGTTACAGCAATATTATTGTAAGTAATGTCCATCATGTACCACCCACTAGAATTATCTTGCTTATGACGCATTGGTACTGATGTTAACTTATATAATGTAAGTTCAGTGTCAACAATTAATGGTATTACTTTATCAAATACTAATTTGTTGTCTGTATAGTAGATTCTTATTTTTGTAATTTTTTGAAATTCATTTAGTTCCCATCTCCTTGTTCCCACCGGAATACTATATGTTTTCTTTATAGTTTGTTCTATTGTTTTTAATGTTGATGCTAGTTCTTGCGGTGTCATACGACTTGGATGTATCATTCCTTCTCTAGCGGCAGTTACTATTTGCCCTAATGTTTCTGTTTCGTAAGAATATTGATTTGTAATTATTGTATATAAATTATGTATTTCATTTTTCATTAACAAATCTAATAAATCGTTTGTTTTATTCTGTATTTTTGACATTTTTTCATATAGTTTTTGCTCCCTTTCCGTAATAATATTGTATAGTTGTCCGGTTTGATTTAATGTGTTACCAATATTTCTTATTGTTGATTTTACTACAGTAGTTTGGGTTTCCATTATATGCAATATGTTAGTTCCGGATTCTTCTGTTTTTTTTATAGCTTCTTGTGTTTTCTTAGTGCATTTATCATCACATACGCCAAATAATGTATGCATAGTGTTACCTATTATGTTTATTAATCCTCTTTTCTTTCTTCGTTTATCTTCCTGTATAGTACTTCCTAGTGACATATACATACGTTATTTTTGTTTAGTTATTTCATTATATAAATCTGTAATTACTTTTTGATATTTTCCACATAGATCTTGGTGTTTCTGGTCAGTACATATATTTTTTATATTCTTTATTTTGTCCATCAATAATTCATATTTCATGTTACTTTAGTCACTATAGTCACTTTAAATGGAGAAGAAGTAGTATGTACTACAGTTGAATTTTGATTATTCATTTCTAAGAATTAAAAATGTTTTAAAAATTATTAAAACAATTAAAAATTATTTAATTTTTATACCAACCTACAGAACCATTAGAATCCGATGATGAATCATTTTTAAAATCAAAGAAGTCCTGCGAATTAGAAACTTCTAATTTATCATAATCATTATGATTTTTTGTAGGGACATCTAAAATGCAAATATTTATATATTATTATATAAAATAAAAACAAAAATACTAAGTTATAACAATCACGATACCTATAGTTCTATAATCATATAATTCATTACTTATTTCAGTAACAGTACTACTACTTAAAGTCGGTGTATTATATTTTTGTTTATAATTATAACTTTGTATAAGAAAATCTTCTGAAAAATAAAATTATTAAATCAATTAAAAATTATTTAGACCAAGGACAAAATTTTAACTATTTTTAGTAGAATAATACTTTGGCTAGAAGTAGAAGAGGTTGCATCAAATAATTTTTTTCTAACTTCTAAAGTAGAACAAGGTGAGCTTATCTTGTGTGATATATTTGGTTTTGGGTAGTCACACAAGGAACTAGACAAAACATCTAGAAAAATGTTTATTATTAATGATTAACAAAATTAATTAAGGAAACAATAATAATTAAAATGACAATTACCTGTATTTAATGAACCAGCAAAAATAGGAGCATCTTCCACTATAAGTTTTCTCTTTCTAGTTTTATTTTGAACATCTTCACTAGTAGAAAGATCGGATGTGTTTTCAGCCATTCTTACTTTCAATTTAGCTTCATGGAGAGTATCTAAAATATTTGATATAAGTAATTTTATTAAATGCACATATCTCCAAGACTTCCTAGAATAAATTATACATATGTATACAATATGGGATAAAAAGGCTAGTTTTTCACTATTTACTTAATAATAATGTGTATTTATACATTAAATTATATGTTTTGTAGCTTATCCTATATTTTTTGATAATTGCAGGCTTAGCTTATCCTAAACAACGTAGTTTTTTTGCTCACAACGCATATATTATACTAAATAGATAAAAAAAATTATAAAATTACCTATGCCTTTTTTTAAAATTCTTGAAGGAAAATAATTAAAATCGGATTTATTTACAATTATTCTTCTGTGAATATGTTTTTTAATATCCTTTTTTGGCCACGCACAAGTTGTTTTTTTAACCCAATGGCTAGGTACAGCTTCAACCGAATTTTCCTTAACGAAATGAACAACAGTCCACATGATAAAGCTGTAGTGTATACTGAAAAAAAAAATTTAACATTTATTATTTGAAATTTGTAGGTAGGTACTCCACTGTTATCATTTTTAAGCAAAAATATAAGCAAACATTTTTTTTTTTTGCTGCATAACATGATTTGTATTGGCTTAAAATGACGATATAATATTGATAAATAATGTACATGCATCGATAAATAAGTATACTAAGCTATAAGCTACTAAACATAGAACGGGTAACATAATATCAGTCATGCATGATGCATCAATTGGTTTTGTTAGAAATTAAAAAGAAAAACTAAAATTATATCTACAATAAGTACTTGTTTAGTAGTTAAGAAGTTAAAAATAAAACCCTTTAGTAGGTATGAAGTACAACATAATATGCCATATACACCACATAATTTAAATATTTATATTTTGTTTACCAACATATTATGAATTATGATATATATATATATTAATATTATTAGTATTATCTAATATGCATAGATTTAAACACATATCAATTATTATTTTAATTTAAGGCTAGCAACAAGTTAAGTACGCATATAGAACAAATATATATTTTACTTTTAATGTTTGAATATTCAACTATCAATTTGGTCCATCAAGTCAACTATACATTTAAAAAATAGGTGTTAGCTATTATTAACTATGAATTTTAAATTGTTAATCCAATTGTGATGTTTTTGTGATGTTGATGTTGATGTTGTGTTGATGTGAATGTACTTGATAGGTTATTTTATAAGTAATATAGGTATAACTTTCAAGATATATGCATAAAATAGATAAAATAATAAAATATATTTACATTTTTTTTTTTAAATATTGTAATAGGTAATTGTTTTTTTTTCTTCTTATAATTATATAACTTCAATTTATACATTAAGAATGATGTAATAATGGAATAGCAATGCTAATGTTATTCACTGATAATAACATCACTTTCCTTTGGATATCATTGATAGTCCAAGTACTCATATTCATTGATAAATTTTTAACAGTGTATATTCCAAAATAAGATGACTGAATTGGTTCATCATAGAATAGTTCTTTTAATTCAAATTTTCTTCCAATTAAAACTATTGAACAAGTGTCATTTGAGTGAGCAATATTAATCAATTTTATAATGTCATTTGTTTTAGAAGCAAAATATGAATCTGCATCGATTTTGACTTTTAATTTATAATTGTCTAAAACTAATGTATTAAATTGTGGATTTACACAACCAACTAATAAAGGGCCATTATTATGTGGTCCTTTTAATAAACGGTTGTTGCTTTGATTAGTCGTATTTGAACTTAAATTAAAGTTATCACATTCACTGAATCTTTTAACAACTTGTTCCAAAGGCTTATTAGGCTGTCTTAACATATTTTTGAGAACTTTCATATAGTTCTCAAAAGGAAAAGCACTGCAATTGTCTAGGGGCCCATATTGTTTATAATCATCTACTAAATGAATTAAACCATGACTGTTTGAAGATATAAGATATTGTCCATAAATCTGTTCAAATGTTAATACAAAATAGTTTAGTAGATTACCAGCATATTGTACTAATGAACCGAGGTTGGGAGACAATAATATAATCATTGCTATATTGAGTGCCATAAAATTTTTATAACAATCTTTTGACACAATATTTTTCAGTACTATAGCCTATAGGGCCTATATACAGTAGAAATGAACGAAATTCTGTGGCTTTCCAGCGTAATACTTCTTGTAAAGTTCTGGGCTTCCTAGAAAACTCACAAGGAAATTTAGATTTGTAACTCAATAATAAATTTGAAATTTGTTTAATTTTTGAATAGGGTAATCGAACATTTAAAGGCCCTTTCATCCATAACAGTATAAGTTTTTTCATAACACCAAGAGTTACCAAGTGCATATAATCGAGGGAAAAAGAAGATACAACATTCACACCAGATATCTCTACAACAGATGAAATACTAGTAGCTGATGAATGGTGATTTATGTCGGTTTGATTAAGATAATTATCATGAGTTCTTTTAACTTCTCGATTAGAAATATCAGAATAAGGAAAACATAATCGATTCTCTTTATACTCTCCTTCAATTTCACATCTTGTGCATGAAAAAAAAACCATTATGGCCTTTAGTTTTCAATACGAACGACCTTGCGGGAGTGTCACAACAAAAAACATCTATAACAACTTTATAAGCACAATTTTGAATTAAAATACCATTCGAAACTAATTGTGTTGCTTCATTCACAAAGTCTTTTAAAAAGTCATTACTATAAATAGGCTTTTCAGTACCAAAGTATAATCCAACTGGAAATACAGTATTTAATTTTGATCTTATATATGCTAAAATAGGCCAAAATTGATTTGAACTACTTCTAAAAATTGGTAACCCATCAATACCAATAACAAGTTTAATCTCATCCAAATGTTGAACTCTTACATCACAATTTGAAAAAGAACGAATAATTCCATTTTCTATTCCAAAGTGGTAATATTTACCAGGATTAACATCTCGCATTTTACATATATCAATGGGTTTTGTGTGTAAAATAGTTCTAGCATCCTTAGGCAAGAATGAAAAACATTTATGTTGTTTTAATATTAATAAAAGACTATTTAAAGCAGTATGTGCAATTTTATTTTGAATAGCCCATTCTGCTAATTCATTTTTAAAAGCCTTTTCTGTATTTAAAGTTAAATTATCATCCAACAATGAATCGATATTTGGATAAGATGCACTGTCGAAGTGATCATCAGAACTTTCAGGTTGTAAAGGCGGCTCCTGAATGTTAAGAAAAGTATTATTAGTTGATACATTGTTTTCTGGTAGCAGATCATAATTGTTGGATACAACAAGGTTTTCAGGATAGTTTTCAGTAATTTGTCTATCAGTATTATGATTAATAGAGTTATTGATAGTGGAGGAACACTCTAAACTTGAAAAATTACTTAAATGAGATTGTAACTCTTCGTCAATTCTCCTTTTTTTAGATCGATAACTAAGAGCATTTAATTTTTTCATAATCAAGCTAAAACAAAAAAAAAAATATGCATTTTACCTAATGGGAAATATTCAGTAAGTACCTACCTACCTTAATAATTTAAAGTTTATAATAAAATAAATATAGGTAGGTAGGTACTTACCTACTTAATACATAAATATAAGTAGCCACATAGGTTGAGGATTAATAATTCTAATAATTGGCAACGAGTTGGTCAGAGAAAACAAATAACTAATGCATTGATAATATCCTCTACTATAAACTATACACTATAAGTACCTATTCTTCAACAAATATTCATAAACACACATAGTAGACTCATTGAGGTCTTGTACAACGACAAATAGCAGTACCATTATAATAAATTACGTTAATATTAGAAAATACTAAAATTATAAATTATAAATTATTATAAGTTAGCCTAGCTATGCACTGTTTAATGTTTAGTAATATAATATAAAAAGTTAGGTAGTCATAGGTACATACACAACCATCAGTTACTTTAATATGTCGCAAGAAAAATAAAGTAGGTATTTGAACATATATACATTGAATAACAAGTAGGTAACAGCCATTGGCAATGCACATGCACCCACAATTTCAGCCGTTTAAACCATGTAAAAATAAATTAATTTAAAATAGGTATATAAAATGGGTACTCACCAGTCACCAAATTACAGCAATTTAAAGATGTTGGATTGTTGGCTAGATAGGTAGTTGCAATAAGTAGGTAGTTGTACAACGCAATAGTAATCGTAAAACACAAAAGGCGAGTCAGGACAATATTATATAATGTCACGAAGACGGCAGACCAGTGATCATGACAAATTAAACAGGTATGTCAGCAAAATACCCGTTTTTAGACGGGTCGCGCATCCACCCTCCGCCCAACCATGTACTGTGACGTAAGCATTTCTCCGTTTTTCATTGGTCGGCCTCCGCCGCCGCCGACGACTCCACTCCCACTTCACCGCTCAGCCATCGCCTCGCCGCGCCGCATTTGCTTTACAGAATACAGGCCCACCACTCTCATCTATATTTTTACTTTTTGATTATAATAAATACATTTTTTATTTTAAAGTTAGATATTATATGCATTTTATTGTTAATTGTTTATTAAAAAAAAAAATATTATTATTATATACCTAATATATATTAGGTTTGTGCTTTAATTTGTATTAAGGTTTACTAGCTACATGTATTTTTATGCTGTAGTAGTATTTTTTTTCAGAGTTGAAAATATTATATAACATATTAATTCAATAATTTTTTTTTCTACAGCTTATAGGTGTGACAACATTCCTACTAGCCTAAAGTGTCAAGTTTTTTTTTATTAATATAATATTTTGTTTTTTTTTTTAATATATTTTATAACATGTTTTGTATTGTATGTTACCTACTATAATATATAATCAAAAGTATTATCAAAAGTTTAAAATTGTTATTTATCCTAGTTGTAAAAACATTACAGATCATAGGGGGATATTAGGAAAAAAAGTCTCCAAATTAATATTTTATTTAAATTCAGTCTTTTATAATATAGGTATTTATATAGGTACATAGCCCATAGGTAATACATGTTACATATTTTTATTGAAAATAATTCTAGGATTAAAAATTATCGTAGATAAGTATTTATATACATAACTAGGTACATTTTAAATTTATTGAAAATAATATAATATCAGAAACATAGAACAATATTATTTAAAAAAAATAAAAATGTAACTATTCAAGTATAAAAGATCTGAAAATTATATAATAGTAAATACAATTTTAACGTACATATTTTATTCAATTTTTTATTATTTTACGAGAGGTGTGTAGTAAGCCAGTTACTACGGAGTAACACCAATTTCATGAGTACATACATAGTCATTATTATAATATACGATAGACCGGCATAACCGGGTAGTAAGGAAATTAGGGGTCAGGAATAGGCGCATTAACCTTGGACAGAAACAAAACCGATCTCAGAGGTACATAGTTATTATATTATAGTTACGATGGACCGGAATAATCAGGGAGTAAGAAATGTAAGGTTCAAAAATAGGCGTTGTAATATACCACAGAAATACTGAACATATACAACGAGATCCAGAATTAAAATAATAATCATGGGGAAAACACCGAATACATACGACGAAATTCAAATAAAAAAACAAGAGTAGAATATTATTTTAATAATAAGCCATAGTTGATAATACAGTCAACCACAGATGTGTGGGCTGGGATGATGAGCACACAAATCACATCCGTGAGAACCGAGATATCGTATATGTAGGCAAAGGGTACGGGGAACCTCATATATAAGGGAGCCCGAATCGGCCTGTATTCAGACGTGTACTACCACCCATTAGTGCAAGCACCTTCACGCCACTCTGTTGAATATTATTTGGACTTAGAAAAATTATCGAACATTATAAAAAAATTCACAATTTATTACATCTGTCTTATCATTCATTGCCTACCACGACTACAACATCAAATAAAGTGTCTGCGACCTGCAATAATAATAACCTGGGTGCCACTTATCTACTGTCAGTACTACGAAAGTAGGTACCAAGCATCCAGGCTTATTACACTGGCGCAGTCGAGTACAGGAGAGTCAAGAAGCTGAGGACGAGGCGAGCAGTCAAAGCGGCGGAGTTAAATTTCCAAAAGGCGAGTCGAGCAGTCAAGGCAGCGGATTTCAACTTCAAAGGCGAGTCCAGCAGTCAAGGCGGCTACATTCAACTACGGAAATCCAGTCCCGACGCAGCGGCTACAGCACGTCAGCAGCTCCACGGAGGTACAGTCAAGGTCTGATCAACCAGGGCGACTCCGGATTCAACGAACAATTCTAGACGGGCCAGCAGACAATCAGGGAAAGATGAACACAGCAGTGGCAACAGCGTTATTGTGAGTATATTAATTAAGTGAAGATAGATAATTAAATTAGAATTGTATAGCTTGAAGTGCACGTCTCACGTTGATTCATATAAATCAACGTTTATTTTATACTTGGTGGTGGTGTAAAATATTAGGGAAAAATATTCGAATAAAAATAAATAAAAAAAAAAAAAAATAGGAAACAAGCTTGGGAAGAACTATATACGTATTTTTGATAGACAGCTGTAGACTGATCTAGGATTTTTTTATGGTAAATAGACGGCAAGGACCGATCTAAGATTTTTGTGATAGGCAGCAAGGACTGACCTAAGTATTTTAATGGTATTTTTATAATAGACAGCAGGGACTGATCTAAGAATTTTATGGTATTTTTTGTGATAGGCAGCAGGGACTGACCTAAGTATTTTATGATATTTTGTGATAGACAGCGGAGACTGATCTAATAAATTAAAAGTAGACGGCGATAGGCTGATCTAAGGAATTGATGCACGCGCCGTAGCATTTTTAAATTATATATGGGAATAATTGATTAAAGGAAAATATTGAATTTTTGAGTTGAAATATAGAATGATAGATAATTGTTGAAAAGAATTAATTGATATATATTGAAGAAAATAGATTTTGAATTAAAAGGCAGTAGATGACCTTATTAAAGTAATTGACGTCAAATTTTGAAAGTTTTGAAAAAAAAAAAGAATTAATTATAGGGGCCCTAGGATAAGATTTAGTATAATATTACTAAGAATAAGTTAATAGAATAATAATTAAAAAGTTATTTTTTCTGGTTAAATTAAATTGATAAAGCGCGTAAAATAGGAAATTAAATCATATAGAGAAATATATTAGTAATAAGAAAAATAAGGGGATAGGAAGTCGAATATTATTAAAGGGATTTACGGCGTAATTAACCGGACATTTTTTTTATATAATATTCGAGCGTAGTACAAGCGCGTACGTAAAAAACATCGCGGAGCAGGGCGAAGGAAACGGGTGAGGAACACCGTATCGAAATTTAACACGCGTAGCATAGGCGGTCGAACGTTTTACGTGTTATTAGATAGGTACTCATCCATTTCAACGTACGACGCGCGTTTACGTAATTTCTTTTTATTATTTGTGCATGATAGTTATTTTATAAGTAATAATTTTTAAGTATTATTAATTTTGGTGACGGTAGTTACGTATTAATAATTTATAATTAATAATAGTATATATATGTAGAGTAAACACTGTTGGAATATACTTACGCGGATAGGAAATTAATAATTTAGTAGATATAATTTATTGAAAATTATATATATGTAATGTCTAGATAAATATATGTCAGAATCCGATAGTTCAGATATTGACACTAGTTCTACGGACAGTTCAATAAAAGTAAAAAATATAAAACTAGGAAAGAATAAAAGCGGAAAATTTAAAGACGCTGTTAAAGAAAGAATTTTTAGAACAAACTAGGAAACAAGTAATTAAAGCTGAAAAAATTGTTAAGGAAAAATTAGTAAGAACACATAGTTTAACAGAACAAATAGGTACCACGCCACGAAAACAAACCGTAGGACGTTTAGGTACTAGGTCAGATTCAAGCGTAGTCACGTGCAGTTAGAATCAGTAGTTAAGAAAAAAAATGAGGTCAAATGGATTTAGATAAAGCAATTGCTATGATACCTATTTGCCACGGGCAAAAGGACGTAGCCGAATTTATAAATATTTGTGAAATCGCAATTAAGGAGACAACGGATGCAGAAATACCGATATTATTGAAAATAATTACTTCTAAGTTAACAGGAAATGCGTTAGAAGTAACAAAATATCGAAATTTAGAACATGGGAGCAATAAAAACAATATTAGAGGGGGCATTCGAACAAAAAGTATCGGAGAGGGAAAAAGGCAGGGCGTTAATAACGAGGAAGAAAAACGACAAACGATGGTAACAACGCAGTTAATCGTGGAGGAAACGGTATTCAATCAAAATCACGGAAATAATAATTTCAACGGATATAACAACAGATATGTTAACCACCAACAACGCGGTAATTATGGAAATAATAACCGGGGCGGATATGATTCACGCCCGGTTAATCGCGGCGGTTATCGAGGCGGAAACAGCTATGGACGAAATTTCAA